TGATCCCCCAGTTCTTGTCCCTGGCGCGCCCGTTGCACCGCCTGCTTCCGTCCCCGACGCGCCTGTACCGGCTTCTGTTTCGTCGATAAAAGCGGCGTCCGCCACAACTGGCGGCCCGGCTCCGTCGGTTGCGCCCTCAGCGGCGGGGCAATCCGCGCCTGCTGTGGCGCCGATGGCCCCGGCAGGACAGCCGTCACGTCTCCCGTCGCCTGACCGCCGACCGTCTCGCCCTCATCCCCCCTCGCCCCACCAGGATCGCAAGTCGTCTCGTCCCCGTCGGGATTCTCCGCGGCAATACCAGCAGCAGCCTCACTGGCCTGCTCACCCCGGTGGTCAGGGGGACTGGAGGGGTCCCCGCGGGCGCGGTGGTGGTGGGGGGTACCGCCCGCCGGTGACGATGGCAGATCTTCAGCGGGAAGTGTCGAGGGCGGTACGTGAGGAGAGGGCGTCGCAGAGCCAGAGCAGTTCGATGCGCGCCTCGCCGGCCCAAGAGGCTCCACGCCAGCCTGTGCTCCCGTCGAGTCTACCGCCTGTCGCTGCACCCCCTCCTCAGGTTCACATCCCAACGGCTCCTGCTCCTGCTGCGTCCGCGCCCGCCTCTGGAGCGCGTCTTCGCTTGCCGCTGGTTCCGCCTGTTGCGGGGGTGGAATTTGCGCCCGCTGGTGGCGGCGCGTTTGCGACGCAGTATTCGCATCCGGCTGATGAGGATCAGCCGCTCCTATTCCTGGCGGAGGCGCTTCAGCCTCCGCAGACTCGTGTTCCGGAGGCGACACTCGGCCAACTCCATCGCCTCGCTGAGAGTCTTCACGCGCTGCTGCTGATTCAGGTGGTTGCACATTCGTCTCTCCCCGTAATCCCTCCTGAGTCATTCCGTGGCCGCCAGCGTGACACCTGCCTGGACGCGGCAGACCAGCTCGCGGTGCTCCTGGCGCCCGTGCTGGCTGCGCCCGCGGAGGGAGGCGCTGCTGCTGCGGGACAGCTTGACGAGGCTGTCCGGGGCCTGAGGCGGCACTTGCGCGCTGGATCTGGAGCCGCGGCGATCGGCGCAAGCACGCTTGTGGTCTGGGAGCTGTGGCGCTCCCTGACGGGCGTTCTTCACGCCCTTGGAGCGCACCGCATGTAGGCGCGGGCTCCGGTTGCCCCATGGTCGCTTCACTTGTCTAGGCTGACGTAGGGAATGCCATCGCTTGTATGCCGTTGCTTATAGTCACTCTTGTGCGTGTTCCTTTGCCGTCCCCTCACGCGCGGCCGAAGGCACCCACCCAACAATGAGGAGAAGAGGCCAGGAAGGCCTCTTAAGTAGCTCACAGAGGAGAGGGCAGAGGGCAAAGGGAGATGGCAGAGGCTAGGTGTCTCTCTCTCTCTCGCTCTCTCGAACGAGCGAAAAAATCTGAACCCACCCACCCGTCGGTTTTGAGAGTAGACACAACCCACCCACAACCCACAACCCACCCAGAACCCACAACCCAGAGGCTAGATCTCTCTCTCTCTCTCTCTCTCTCTCTCTCTCTCTCTCTCTCTCTCTCTCTCTCTCTCTCTCTCTCTCTCTCTCTCTCTCTCTAATGGTCCTTGTATTGATATGGCAACCAGGTACATGCATGCAAGGTATAGTAGCAGGGGTAACAAAACACAAAGGCAATTCCTACCCTATACCCCCTCTATAGTTCCAGGAGGGGCTCTATCACTGCAAAACAGTCTCCTAGGTGCAACTCCTGCCCAATACCGCCCACCGGCGGGTTCTCAGCTGCTGCCGCCTCACCCAACTTGAGAAGGAGGCCTACAGATTGGGCCCTTTGAAGGGCCACCGACCATCTCTGGCGAAACTGGTGCAGAAACTTGGCGGCATAGTAGGATTTTGAGTCGGCGTTGAAGTGGCGCCGAGCTGCTGTATCTGCAAGAAGCTTGAGAAACACGGGCACCTCGGCGCATGGGCAGCCATAGGTGTCTACCGCCAGTGGGAAGAAGCCAACCGTCTCTGGGCGGTTGGCATAGTGCTTGATCTTCTTATCCGCTTGCTCACGTGCCGCCCACCCCCTGCCTTTTTGAGCCTCAGGATCCCGGGTGCTGATGGGGTCTGTGACGGTGACGTCGCAGATATAGACCGCCCCACTGCTTCTATCCGTCATTGTGAAGTCGGCCATTTGCTCTTCGATGGGGCTGTGAACGGCCGACTCCCGATGGACAATGAAACCAGCATCCTGCGCCATGCTAATGCAGGCGTCCCGCAGCTCGTTGTGGGTGTTGATTCGGTGCTTGCCCGTGCCGCAGCGAAGGAGATGGTTCGGGAGGCGGGGGTCGGTGATAGAGGTGTGGTCAGCGCAGTCACACTTCTTCGGCGTTGAGAACGGCAGGGCCAGGCGGAACCGCACGGCGTTGGCGAAGTGTACTGGCCCGATGCGCCGCGTTGGCGCGATGGGGATGGCCGTGATCCAGTCGCCCGTGCCGTAACCTGTAAGGGAGAACATGCGCTGCGTGTGGCCCGAGAGCGGGTTCGGCTTCATGCGCCGCGTCGCTTGAACCTGCACGGCGTATCTGCTCGTGAACCTTGAGGCCGAGTACGTGCTGGAGCCTTACATCGGACCGTTCGAGCCGCTCCTTCTCCAGTAATTCCCGAGCGTCTAGAGGCAGCGCCGCCTCGCACTCTGCAAGCCACCTGTGCAGTGGCGTGCCATCATCTCGCGGCAGTAGCATGTGAAGCCGTGCCTGCGCCAAGGCATTCTCGGGTCCCAGCTCGAGGGTGGACAGAAAGAAGGCTGCCTGTGTGAAGCTTGCTGTGAATCCGTATACCCCTTCGACTAGGGGGTCAGTTATGCCTATCCCTCCGAGCGACGGCGGAAGCGAAGCCTGGTCCCAGACGCGCGCTTGCTCGGCCCTACACGTGGGGACGCGTATGTCACATGAAGTTAGCAGAGCGATGAGGAGGTCTTTCCCCCACTGGCTCCAACGTTCGCGAGGCAACAGGTGTAGCGGCGTCGTCCTAATAAGGTAAGCGACCCGCCTCGAGATATAGCGTGTGATGAGGAGAGCGGCGACCTGCGGATCAGCACGCTCGATAAGTGCTAGGGGCCTTGCCATCTCATCGAGTTGGTCCGCCAGGAATTTAGCGGCGCCGCTGTCAGGTCCTAGGAAGCTTCCCAAGAGACGCACCCCTTCCCCTGAGAAAGGTACCCCTGGTGGAAGAATAGCGTGTTCGGCAGGATTTGCACTCCATGCCGCACACTTCTGGGGATTGTGCCTCAGGCCTAGATGTGCCAGTTTGTCGGTGAAGAACGTGAAGGCTGCTACAGTGCTCGCCGTGTCACCCAAGAACGTGATGTCGTCGGTGTACGCCAAACAGAGCACTTCAGGATGTGTCTCGGCAGTTTCGCGGAGGGTGGCGTGTATCCCTGCTGCGAACAGGAGCGGGCCAAGTGGGTCGCCTTGGCGTACACCCCGTTCGCTGCTTAGCGGGTCCGAGTTGAAGTTGGCGTCGAGAAGTAGTTGCGATGGGTTACCATACGTCAATTTGACTAAGGGCAGCAGCGGCGAAAGAGCGGGGTCGTGTAACGCGGAGGCGATGGCGTTTCGCGATATGCTGTTGAACGCGTTCGAAATGTCAGCCTGCAGGACCAGGCTGTTTGGGCGGGCGTCCATGTGGGCTCTGGCTGCGTGGATCACTGCTTCCGCGCCACCTGGCACTGCCACTCCGTACTGTAGCGGTAGAAAAAGTTCCCGTGCAGCGTCCCCCATGGCAGCCAAAGCGGCTTTTGCTGCAAGCCGCGTCAAACATTCCCCAATCGCGATTGGTCGAGCCCCCCCTCCCGGCTTGGCCAAGGCAATGAGGCGTGAAGATGTTAGAAGATTCGCCACCGAGCCTGGCAGGTTTCCGCCCAGGATGGTGTTGACCAAGGCGTGCAGATGGGTGCGGACCAGTGCGTTGGTAATTGCCGCGTCGCGCAGATGCTCAAATGTCATTCCTAACGGTCCGGCTCCCACCCCGTTTTCGTACCGCCCCAATAATTTTGCGAACTCGGGGTGGGCGATTGACAGCTTTGACCCGTCGTGCTCAGGCCAGGTCACTGCCCCGTGTACAGCGGGGGGGTGTTTTTGGCGCAATTCTTCCAGAATTTCCGGGCCAGGGGTGCAGACGGGTGTTGACTCGAGGGCCAGCACGGCCCGACGTAGACTGCCACGTTTCGCCAATCCTTCTGCATGGTTGATGACCCCAGTCGCGTCGGGCTGGTGTCTGGGCGGAGGTGGTGTGTTGACCGCGTCCACCGCATGCCTATATAACTGCTCCCATTCGCCACGTTGAAAGCCCCGGAGCCGAGCCTTGACCCCATGCCAATCTGGTCGCTGCGGTGAGGTTTGACAAAGTGTTAAACGCGGGAGAAACAGCAGCAGTCGCCATCCTGACTCTGATTCGGGGTGTCGCGACAGGTGAAGTAACGGTGTCAGCATCGCGACTGCGAAAAGCTGGCACAGATTCGGCGGTAAACGCCTTGACAGCGTAGGCTGACGAGTGTCGCACAGGGCCGCGACATCCCAGTTCGCGATGGCAGCGAACAAATCCGGCCGCTCTGCTAGCTCGTCAGCTGAGTAATAGCGGGGAATTGGCATTGAGGGACGCGTCGCGGCATTGCCCATGGTGGTCCGATTTCGTCTGGCGCGCCCCGTTGTGGCTTGTTCGTTCGAAGTTGGAATCTCCGCCGTCCGTTCAGCATCTGACGGACCGGAGGCTCCCTGTGGTGTTTCCACCCCTTGCGCTAACCCCGCTGTTCCTCTCCCAGCAGTCCCTCTCCTAGCAGTCCCTCTCGTAACTCCCACTTCCTCCTGCTCGTCGTCCTCACTTGATGGGAGCGTGTCTTCCCTATAAGAGGGGTCACCCAAATCCTCCTCTTCATTAGTTGCTTCCAAAGTAGTTAAAGCCCTGCGTGCCTCCGCCTGATACCCGTTTTCCGGTCCTCCGCCCGTCCCGCTTACTGCCTGCCCCCCAGGCTCGCGACGTCCTCGTCCCTGAGATGGTGATTGCCGGCGCTCCTGAGCCGTCGCCAGAGCGCGCTGCCGCCTGGTCGGCAGTGATCGCCACGCCTCAGTCTGCCCCCGGAACGGCGACCATGCCGACGAAGCCCCCTGTACCGCCGGTTCCGAAGCCCGCGACAGCAGACGCTGAAAAGACTCTTCCCCCCGCACCCGCGGCTCCCCTTGGCGTGGTCGAGGCTGGCCCGTCGGCTCCTGTTGAAACTCCGCCCGCTCCGACTGCTGCGCCTGTGCCTCCGGCGCCTGTGGTTGCGCCGGTGGCTTCAGCGCCTGCTGGGGAAGCTGTTGCTCGCTCTGTTCCTGCCCCTGGCGCACTCGTTGCACCGACCGCTTCTGTCCCCGACGCGCCTGCGCCGGTGTCTGCTTCTTCCCCGAAGGCGGCGTCCGCCACCACTGTCGACCCGGCTCCGATGGCTGCGCCTCCTGGTGCGGACCCGGCGGCTCCCGCTCTGCTGCCGGCGGCCCTTGTAGTGCAGCCGTCTCGTCCCCCCTCGCCGGACCGCCGCCTATCTCGCCCCCATTCTCCCGCGCCCCAAAAAGAGCGCGAGACGTCGCGGCGCCGGCGCAACTCTCCCCGGCGCTACCAGCAGCAGGCCCAGTGGCCTGCTCACCCTGGTGGCAATGGGGGCTGGAGGGGCCCCCACGGGCGTGGTGGTGGCGGGAGATACCGTCCGCCTGTGACAATGGCGGATCTCCAGCGGGAGGTGTCGCGGGCCGTGCGTGAGGAGAGGGCGGCGCAGAGTCAGAGCAGTTCGCTGCGGGCCGCGCCAGCGCCCGTGGCTCCTCGTCAGACTGAGCCTCCTGTGGCCCCTCCGCCAGCTGCTGCATTTCCTCCTCCTGTCCTCGCCCCGTCGGCTCCTTCTCCTTCTGTCTCGGCACCTGCTCCCGGCTCTCGTCTGCATTTGCCACCGGTTCCGCCTGTTGCGGGGGTGGAGTTTGTTGCAGCGGGGGGTGGCGCTGCGGCTCAACATTCCCACCACGTTGCTGCTGATGAGCCGCTGCTGTTTCTGACGGAGGCGCTGCAGCCCCCGCAGATGCGTGTTCCAGAGGCGACACTTGGCTAACTCCACCGTCTGGCGGAGAGCCTCCACGCGTTGCTGCTGATTCAAGTTCTCGCTCACTCGTCTCTCCCCGTGATTTCTCCGGAGACTTTCCGCGGCCGCCAGCGTGACACGTGCTTGGACGCGGCGGACCAGCTCGCTTCGTTGCTGGCGCCCGTGTTGGCTGCGCCCGTGGAGGGTGGCGCTGCTGCTGCGGGGCAGCTTGACGAGGCTGTCCGGGGCCTGAGGCGGCACTTGCGCGCAGGATCTGGAGCCGCGGCGATCGGCGCAAGCACGCTTGTGGTCCGGGAGCTGTGGCGCTCCCTGACGGGCGTTCTTCACGCCCTTGGGGCTCACCACATGTAGATGCGGGCTCCGACTGCCCCATTTAGTGTGACGCGCGGCTAAGCCGCGTTAGGAGTTGCCATGTGTGTAATGCTTATGAATTTAAACGGCTCAGTTTGTGGTTACTTACCGTCCCATCGCGCGCGGCCGAAGGCCGCACCGTCGAGCGTCGGCCGCCTTCGGCGGCCGGCGCGAGCGAAAAATTCCGGCTCCCACTGAATAATGACCAAATGAAGGCTAGAGCAGCCTCTTAAGTAGCTAGGAAACCTGGGGCAGAGGCTGAAGGCAGAGGGCAGAGGCTAACCCTCTCTCTCTCTCTCTCTCTCTCTCTCTCTCTCTCTCTCTCTCTCTCTCTCTCTCTCTCTCTCTCTCTCTCTCTCTCTCTCTCTCTCTCTCACTCACTCTCTCTCAAGCAGTCCTTCATTGATGGGTTTATAAGGATACAAGCATGGTGAGGGCAGGTGCTAGATGGTTCTAGGCATGCAAGGGGGTCTACTACCAGCTTCCAGACTGATATTCCTGCAGGGACAGCACAGTATCAGGCGGACGAGGCAACCACCCAGCAGCAGAGAGTCAACTAGCAAGCAGGCCGCCATGTAGGCCGATGAGGGAGCAAGCAAGCCTGTGAGCAAGCAGACGAGCGGATAGGCCAGCAAACACACAAGTATTCAAGGAATCCCACGTGCAAACAAGCACCCAAGTGATTCTGCCCTTTGCCCCACCCGAAGAACATTCTGGCGGCTAGTCCAGCCCCCTACCTTTGACCCGCCCCTGGCTCTAAGCCTGACCCTCCTGCCATGTCCCCCCCCTATCACCACCTCTTCCAGCCCGTGTCTCTCCCTCTCCCTCTCCTCCCCCAGCCCTCTACGTCCCCCAGTCCTCTGCCCCATCCAGCTCATCCTTGAGGGTCTGGGCCAGATCTCCTAGGCGTGGGGCCCAGGGGTCAGCCATGGACTGTGGGTAGGCTTCTTCTGCGGCCTGGTTGGACTTGGCCAGCAGGGTTGTTGCTTTGCAACGCTGCTGCATGACCGACCAGCGCTGGCGGTAGTGGCAGTAGAGTTTGGCTGCAGTTTTGGTTGGTTTCGCAGCCCTGAATTTTGCCTTTGCCGCATGTGTCGCCAGCATCTGTAGGAACTCTGCCGTCTGTGGGGCCAGCGCCCCGTACGTCTCAGCGGCAAGGCCATAGAAGCCTACCCAGTCTGGCCGCTCCTCGTACAGGAGTTCCTTGGTCCTTGCCGCTTCCCTAGCTGCCCAACCTGGCTTCTTCCGCACTGTGAGGTTTCGGCGGAGCAGTACAGGGTCGGTGAGGGTGACATCGCCTATCCAGGTGCCCCCCGATTCCTGATCCCGCAGGGAGAGGACTGCCTTGATCACGTTGGAGGGAACTGAGAATGCTGTCGTCTCCCCCGACGTGGTGTAGCCTGCCTCTCGAGCCATGCGGATGCAGCAGTAGACCAGCGCGTTGTGGGTCCGTGTCCTATCCCCCCCGGTCCCACAGCGTAGCAGGTGGTTAGGCAGGCTAGGGTCTGTGATGTCTGACCTGTCCCCGCCACATGGACACTTTGCTGCTACCGCCTGGGGCAGCCCTAGGCGGAAGGCCAGCGCTGTGCCAAACTGTCCAGCCGATAGGGTGAGGTCTGGCCTTGTCGGTGTGGCATTCAGCCAATCCCCTGCTCCAGACCCCTCAAGCTTACCAGCCTGACGCCGTGGCCGTTGTCCGTCCCTGGGCGGTCTATGAGGGTGTCATCCAAGAGGTTCAGCGCCCTGGCCTTGTTGATGGCGCGTGAGAGGGCCAGCTGCAAGTGGCCGGGCCAAGGGTTGGCGCGCCGGTCTCTCAGCAGATGCTTTCCTTCCTCCGGCAGCCTCCCCTCCATATCCCGTAACGTTTCTCCCAGTGCCGAGGTTACGTCAGCTTCTGGCGATAGGGCCGCCCTTACTGCCGCCAGCGGGTGGGTTGGCTCGAGGGGTAACGAAGCCAGTAGTTCAGTCGCCGTTGCAGTTGAAGCTAAGAAGGCCGCTGGTGCTTCTGATATGGGGTCTATGATCCCCAGCCCCCCTAGGCTGATAGGTAGTGTGGCCTGCCGCCACAGCAGGCTCTGGTGCAGTTCGTGACTCGGCCACCAGATTGCTGCTGCTGAGAGGGCCGTGCGCAGGAGCCCCTCACTCCATTCCCGCCATGTCGCTAGGCTGACTGAACTCGCTGGAGTCGTGCGTAGGAGGTAGGACGCACGCCTCGATATGCAGCGACTTATCAGCAGCAGGGAGTGCTGGGGGTTGAGCTGGGATAGGAGTGGTAGTGGTTCCGCGGCCTCTTCGAGCTGTCGCCGCAAGAAGTCCGCGGAGAACTCTGTGGTTCCCACCGGGCTCCCCAGGATCTTCACTCCCGTGCGGACCTGCGGCAAATCAGGCGGGAACAGGGTGTCTGACCGCGGGTCCGCGTTCCAGCAGCAGGACTTTGACACGTTGCAACGTAGCCCACACCGCTCCAGGTCTGCTATGAGGAAGTTGAATGCCCGAGCCAATGCTTCCGGGGGGCCGATCAGTGTGATGTCGTCGGTGTAGGCCAGCAGTGTTACTTCGGGGTGTGAAGACGTCGGGTGTGCCAGGGACGGCTAGATTGCTGCTGCGAACAACAACGGCCCCAGCGGGTCTCCTTGACGGACGCCACGACTGCTTGTTAGGGAATGGCCTCCCAGGCTGGCGTCTAGAAGCAATGGTGAGGGCGTTCCGTACATCGTCAATACGAACGGGAGCAGCTCGAGCATGCTGGACCATCTCAGTGCGTCACAGAAGCTCGCGCGATTCACGGAGTTGAACGCATCTTCTATATCGAGCTGTAGGATCGTTGATGCTGGCTGCAGCTGTCGTAGGGCGCGGACGGAGTGGATGATGAACTCTGCTCCCCCCTGAACTGCCACTCCGAATTGCACCGGGATGAAGAACTCGTGGATCTGAGCGCCTAGTGCTCGTAAGGCAGCTTTTCCCGCTACGCGTAGGATCGTTTCACCTATTGCGATCGGTCGAACACCGCCGTCGGGTTTGGATAAGGCAATGAGTCGTGACGGTAGCAGCACCTCCTGTACTCCCGCTGCTACTGTCGAGCTAAGGAGGTGATTGACGACCTTGAGCAGAAGGCCCAGTACTTCCTCACTAGCTAGCGCAGGTTCACGTAGGTGTTCGAAACACATTCCTGAGGGTCCAACTCCAACCCCGTTAGGACATCGAATCAGCACTTCGCGAAGTGAGTCGGTTGAGATCGCCAGGTTGGACGAGGTCACACTCGTTACCCATTCGGGTAACGCCTCCGTCGCCTGGGGGTGTTTGTTCTTTAGGGCCTCAAGTGTGGCGATTGTCGCTGGTGCGAGGGGTGTCGCTCGTAATGCCGCAACCGCTTTGCTCAGGTTCGCCTTGCGAACCAAGTTCTCCGCTCGGGCACATAGCCCGGTTGGATCCGGTACGTGCTGCTGTGGTGTTTCTACACCGTCCAAATTCTTTGCGTCGGTAAACAGTTGCTCCCACTCGCCAGTCTGGAACTTAGCCAAACGCCCTGCAATTTCGATCCACTGATTCCCCTCCTGGCTCGTCGGTGCCGGGCGGAGTGTCAGGCGGGGTAATAGGGTTAACATTCTCCAACCCCCCGTGCACTCCGGGTGTTTCGCCAGCCTAGTCAAGGGCGTAAGCAGGCAAAGTGTGAAGGCTTCTAGAAGCTTCGCTGGGAGCCGGCGCGTGAGGAAGGGTTGGCTCTCTCTCTATCTCTCTCTCTCTCTCTCTCTCTCTCTCTCTCTCTCTCCCTCTTTCTCTCTCTCTCTCTCTCTCTCACTCCCTCTCAAACAGTCCTTCATAGAGAATATGCAAGGTACAGGCAACACATGCAAGAGCCAGCTAGTCTAGGCATGCAGACTAGAACAACATGCAGTCTAATCATGCTAATTCAGCCATGCAATCAAGGCATGCAGTTCCTGCCCTATGACCTGCGAACCCTGCCTGCGGGCCCTTACTCCCGTCCCCTTACGTATCCAGGGGCGGCCCCCAATCTAGGCCGTCCTCAAGGACTTGCCAGAGGTCCCAAAGGAGGGGTTGCCACGGGTCGGCCGGGGCTTGGGGGAACGCTCGCTCTATCGCCCTATTGGACTTTGCCAGCAATGTGTTTGCCTGGCTACCTGCAGCATCACCAACCAGCGCTTTCGGTAGTGTCCTGTGAGCTTGGAGGCTACTGTGGTGAGCCTCCCCTGTCTGAATTTCTTCTTGGCAGCCTGGGTCCCTAGGAGGCGTAGGAACTGCTGTGTGTCTATTGCTAGGGCACCATAGGTTTCTACCGCCAGCCCAAACACCCCAACGAACTCTGGCCGCCCTTCATACAGTGTTGTCTTCCTCCTAGCCGCATCCTCCACTACCCAACCGGGCCGTTTCACAGCTCGGGTGTCACGGCGCTGCAGCACTGGATCGGTTACAAATAACGTCGGTCACCCAGGTTTCGGCCGACTTTTTGTCCTTGATGACCAAGTCTGCTCGCCTAGGGTTGACGATTTGTGAGAAGACTGTGGTCTCATGCATGTTCATGTACGCGTGTTTGTGCAGTTCTCTCTCAAGCAGTCCTATATTGATATGGTTCATAGGGTACAAACAAGGCATGGGTAGTTCAGCCAACACGCTATCCTAGAAACATGGCTACCCTAGCATGCATTGCTTGTCCTATCTCTGCTCCCCCTGACACATGGCAGCCTAGGCATGCAAGCAACCTCTACTACACATCATCGGTGGCCCATCCAGCCTTGTTCTTGCCCCAGCTACTACCTTCCAGCCCTCTATACTCCCAGGTCCCACTCTTCCTCCACCTCATCCTCCAGGACCTGCCATATGTCCCCCAGGCCTGGCTCCCAAGGGTCGGCCCATGCCTGGGGATATGCTGCCTCTGCCGCCCTGTTGGACTTCGCCAGCATGGCATTGGCTTGGCAGCGTTGCAGCATTACCGACCAGCGCTGCCGGTAGTGCGCGGTTAGCCTGGAGGCCACCGTGGTGAGCCTCCCTTGGCGGTGCTTCTTTTTGGCCACGCTCGTGCCCAGAATGCGGAAGAATTTCTGGGTATCCTTCGCTAATCCCCCATAGGTTTCCACCGCCAGGCCAAGGACCCCTGCAAACTCGGGGCGCTCTTCGTAGAGTCCCCTTTTGATCCTAGCCGCGTCCACTGCTGCCCACCCTGGTGCCTTTTTGCCTCGGGTGTCCCGCCTTTGCTACACTGGGCCAGTCACTATCACGTCTGTGAGGTAGGTTTCACCAGACTCCTTATCACGGAAGACCAGGTCCGCCCGTTTAGGGTTGACAGGGGGCGAAAAGCCTATTGTCTCGTGTAAGGTAGTGAAGTCCGCTTCACGTGCCGTGCGCAGCGCCGCGTATACCAGCGCGTTGTGGGTGTTGGTGCAGTCCCCTCCATCCGCGCATCTCAGCAGGTGGTTAGGAAGGCTGCTATTTTTCATCTTAGAGCGCTTGCCGCGGCAGGGGCAGTGCTCTGTGACCGGCAGGGTAAGGCCGAGCCTGAAGCCAAGGGCTATGGCAAATTGCCCTGGTGAGAAGGTGAGGTCCGCCCGCGTAGGGATGGCGTGTAGCCAGTCTCCCGCCCCCGGCGCCTGCAGGGCTATGAGCCGCACCACGTGCCCGTTATCTTTTCCCGGCTTGTCCACTCGGGTATCCCCTATCAGTTCCGCTGCCCTGTCCAGGTTGACTAGACGTGATAGCCCTAACTGCAGCCGCCCCTTCCCCCCCCTCTGGCGGTGATGCTCGTGTAGGAGTTCCAGTGCGCTTTTTGGCAGCTTGCCCTTAAGGTCCTGCAGGGTCTCCCCTTCCTGTTCTGCCCCTACGGTGCTCTCAGTAGACACTAGGTCTGCAGCCCGCCTCAGTGGGTGATCTGGGTGCTCAGGGATGCCGCCTAGTAGGGACTGGGCGGCGTCCAGGGATGCCAGGTAAGCTGCAGGCGCCTCTGATACCGGATCTATCAGGCCCAGGCCGCCAAGGCACACTGTCAGAGTCGCCTGCCTCCATACTAGGCTCTGCTCGATCTCCTTCCTTGGCGCGTGTAGGTGTGCCGCCTTTAGTGCCGTCCATACCAGGCCCTCGCTCCAATCCCGCCACTCTTCTAGGGGCAGCATGTCCGCCGGTGTTGTGCGGAGCAGGTACGAGATGCGCCTGGAAATGCAGCGTGATAGCAGTAGCAACGCGTGTTGTGGGTGGATGCTGCCGATCAGGTCTAGCGGTGCCGCCACCGATTCCAGGTACGTTGTGATCATGCGCCTTCCGTATTCCCTGGTACCAATCGGGCTCCCCAAGACTCGTATGCCGTCCACTGCTGCCACCAGGCCTTCGGGTAGGTCGTCGGGTATGCATGATGGGCTCCATGCCAATGACTTCGCGAGGTTGCACCTGAGGCTGCGGCTCGTAAGGCCCCTCGTGATTATACCTAGTGCTAGTGCGGCCTCTGGTGCTGTTCCCACAATCGTGATATCGTCAGCGTAGGCCATGACCGTGACCGTAGGGAGCATGTCAGCTGCCACCTGGAGTGCCGGTTGGATGGCTGCTGCAAAGAGCATGGGTCCTAATGGGTCTCCTTGGCGGACCCCGCGCACACTTTCGATGTTTGGTGCCGCGAAGCCTTGATCCGGTAGCAGGCAGGAGGGCGTGCCGTAGAGCGTGCGCACTAGTGGAATGATGCGGCTGAGTCCAGAGAAGTGCAGGGACTCAAAGAACTCTTCTCGTTCGACAGAGGCATTTTCAATATCTAGCTGCAGCGCTACCCGTTTCGGATCCTCGGCTAGGAGCGCCCGTACCATGTGGATAATGCACTCTGCTCCTCCAGGTACTGCCATTCCGAATTGCACAAGTAGGAAGTACTCTCGGATGGGTGCGCTCAGCTCCCTTAGCGCTGCCTTGGCTGTGAGGCGTAATATCGCCTCTCCTATGGCTATGGTTCTGACTCCACCGTTTGGTTTTTCCAAGGCTATCAGCCTAGACGGTAGCAATAGCTCCGTCAGATCCGCTGGCAGGTGGTTGCCTAGGACGTGGTTGACGATGCCGCGCAGGTAAGTGAATACATCGCAGTTTGTGAGAGCCGTGTCTCGTAGGTGCTCGAAGCATCTGCCTGAGGGTTCGGCTCCGATCTCGTTGGGGCATTTGGCTAGAACCTCGCGAAAGGTTTCCGCCAAAATCAATAGATTGCTCGAGGCGAATCCCGTTACCCAGTTCGGGATTTCGTTCCCCGCCTCTGGGTGTTTCGCCTTTAGTGCTTCCAGGGTCGCCTGCGAGGGTTCCGCGAGTAGTGATGTTTGTAATGCTGCTACCGCTTTCGCCAAATTCGCCTTGCGAACCAGGCCTTCGGCCCTCGCACAGAGTCCCTCGGGGTCTGGTTGGTGACGGCTCGGTTGGGGGTTCTGGGGTATGGTACACGCCTGGGAGTATAGCAGGTCCCATTCTTCCAACTTGAACTAGTCCAGCCTCGTCGCTACCTTGGCCCACTTGTTTCCAGGTACTTTCCCAATGGTGGCTTTGAGTAGGAGTCGCGGCAGGAATAGTAACATTCGTCGGGCTCCTTGACAGGTTGGGTTCTTGGAAAGTCGCAGCAGGGGGATTGTGAGGCAGTAGCTGAAGATTCCCAGAATGTTGAGTGGAAGCTTCCGCACCAGGAAAGGTTGGATGCTGTTGCGCAGGGGTGACAGGTCCCACTCCTTCACCCTCTACCACATTGCCTCGTCCTCGGCGGTATCTGATGCAGAGCGTTCTTTACTGGCTGTCCTCGTGCCAGCCTGGGCGATTGATTCTGCCACCTGTGCTGGTTCTGCCGTTCGCGCTCTCCTCTGTCCCTGGTTTGCACTGGTGTTAGGGACCCCCTCTTCTGCCTCTAGGGAGATGTCTTCGGAGTCTCCTTCCTCTGATTCGATATATTCCTCATCGATCCCCTCCTCCCCTTCAGTTATTGGGTTGGCATTCTGTCGTGTGTCAATCCGTTCTGGCCTGCTGTGTCTCTCCCGCCAGTTCCCGGATCTGGCTTTTTCCCTCGCCACCGTGCGCACCAGGTTCGCCAGGCCCCCTTCCATGCCTCGTCCCCTGCCTCATGCTCCCCTCGGTGCCGCTTCGGGCGCCGCATTTTGCGGCGGTCGGCCTGCCGCATGCCAGTTAGCCTGCTCCCGCAGGGCCTGATGCCGGCTCATTTCCCCTCGGTGGCGGCTGTGTCTCGTCGCGACCCTTCTCTCTTCCGCGTCTTCTACGGCGTTCTCCCTCTTGTCTAGCGCTTCCGCCTCGTCTTCCAAGGCTTCGGCCGCGATTTCACGTCGGTGTGGTGATGACGGGTCAGCGCCATCCTGCGCATCGGCGGCCACCTCATGGCGAGAGTCTTCCTGCTGTGTCCACCCCACCAACGGCCCAGGTCGGGCAGGTGCCAGCCCTGCTCCGAGCCGCCGCTGATGTTGTTGCTGCCGTGGCGGGCGGCGGTTCTTCCCAGGCGCCCGCTGTTTCATCCGTGCCCCGGGAGCCGATATATCGTTCTCCTCGTGGGCGGACGCATCCCCATCCAAGGGCCTGAGGCCAGTCGTTCCGCCGCCGGCGCCCTCCCCGGCCGTCCCAATCGTTTGCTCCGTAGTCGGCGCGGTCCCTGGTCCAAGCCTCGTGTCCTCCTGCGATCTTGGCATCGTATCCGCAGCTTCCGGCGCAACCTCCACCTCCTCCTCCGCCGCTTCATCCGTCGTCGACCTAGGCATCCTCGTCGCAGCAGCAGCCCTCGTCTGCATCGGCGCCCTAGTTGCCCTCCCCGTCGATGGAGCCGTCCGTGTCATCGGGTCCAGGTTCGGTGCCCGCGCCCCAGCTCCCGCCAACGTGGGCGTCTCTGCTGGTGCCCCAGCCGCTGCAGACATCGTCCGCTCCAACCTTAGCGGTTCCTCCGCCGCCCGGCCCCCGCGGCGGTAGCGCTTCCTCCGCCCCCGCCGACTCCGGCCGTGCAGCCTCCGTCGGTGCCTCCTCCTCAGCCGCCCCCGTCAGCGCTGTGCTCGGACCCTCCCGTCGTTCCTTCTGTCTCGGCCGCCCCCCCCGGCGGTGCTGGGAACCAAGGGCCACAGCGTTAGCGTCCTCTCCTTCCGCCGTAGTTGCCACAGGTGCCCCGGTTCCGTCACCGCTCTCCTTCTCCTGGACTTACAGAGGATGCTCCTGACCCGCCAGAGGAGTGGTGGCTGGAGCGGGATACTTGGACCGCCCCTGTTGAGCCAGGATCTTCGTGGGGTCGGTGGGCTGCTGACACTCCGATCGTAGCTGATATCGTCCGTTGGGAGCGGCGGTTGTCAGGAGTGCCTCTCTCTCCTCGCGACCGTGCTTGATCAGCTGCATGCTGGGCTGCAGAGCCGGCCTGTCGCCGCGCGTGATCCCCAGCTCGATGAGATGCAGCACGGTGTGGTTCGTGCTGCTGCCGCGCGGTGCTTGTGGTCCTTACTGCACCTGCCGCTGGAGAGTGAGTCTCCCGCCGAGAATGAGGGCCCAGGCACGACGTGTTTCCGGCGGGTAGCCACGGCAGCTGAAGAGGCGCCCCCTGGGCTCGTGCCTGCGCTCGCGTCAGTGCTCCGGTGGCTGCGTTGGCGGATTTCCCTTCTGAAACGGGTGTAGCGGTATTCTGTTTTGCGCCCCCCCCCCCCCCCCCTGCGTCCCTTTCCCCTTTTCCCTAGCAGCCATGCTTGGCCGTCCGAGCTTGTTTTGATCCCTGCTGTCACTGCCCCGTGTTGTACCGCTTCATATTATAGTGCTTCTTCCCTGGGCCATCTCTCTCTCTCTCTCTCTCTCTCTCTCTCTCTCTCTCTCTCTCTCTCTCTCTCTCTCTCTCTCTCTCTTAAGCAGACTTGTATTGATATGGTCCGCAAGGTACAGGCATGGCATGCTACGGCTTGTAGATTGTCTAGGCATGTAGGCAATCATGTAGCTAAACTAGCAATGCAAGCAACCAACCAACCAACCAAACAAACAACCAACCAACCAACCAACCCGGCCAGCGCCGACAGTGCATGTGCCTATTAGTCACCATTCACTTGGTAGCCCCTCAAACCCGCCAGGCGAGGCTGCCCATTCCTGCCAAAGACCCCCCGGCTCCTGCCCCTGCATTTCCCCCCTGCTCTATCACCTCCAAACCCCTGCCGCTTACTCCCCCCTCCCTGCTCCCCTGCTCCCCCCGGTCTCTCAGGCCGCTCTGGCCAGGGAGTGGCACCCTTCGTACTCATCCTCCAGTGTCTGCCAGAGATCCCCCAGGCTCAGCTCCCAGGGGTCCCTTGCAGCCTGGGGGAACGCCGCTTCGTCTGCCAGGTTCGACTTGTTCAGGAACGTAGTTGCCTGGGAGCGCTGCAGCATGACCGACCAGCGCTGCCTGTAATGTGTGATGAGCCGGGCTGTTGTTGTGGTCAGCTTCCCCTGGTGGAACTTCTTCTTGGCCGTTGAGGTAGCCAAGAGGCGGAGGAACTGTTGTGTGTATGTGCTTAGCGCCCCATACGTCTCCACCACCAGCCCAAAGAATCCTACATAGTCTGGGCGGCCCTCATAGAGTCGGTGCTTCGTCTCCGATGCCCCCTCTGCCGCCCAGCCCGGCGGCTTCCGAGCTCGTGTGTCTCTGCGTTGAAGTACGAGATCAGTCACGGTGACATCTGTCACCCAAGTCTCACTGAACTCTTTATCCCTGAAGGCCAGGTCCCCCTGCTTCCTCATTACTGGTGGGGAGAAGGCGGATGTCTCGTGGAAGCACGTGTAATCCGCTTCCCTTGCCATTCTGAGTGCAGGATACACCAGCGCATTATGTGTCCTGACCACATCTCCACCGTAACCACATCGCAGGAGGTGGTTCGGTAAGCTCGTGTCCGTGATGCTAGAGTTGTCCCTCCCGCAGGGGCACCGCACGGTGACCGGCAAGGACATGCTGAGTCGGAAGTGTCAAATGATATATATGCCATATATGTTTAGGCTGTAGTGGGGTAGCCAATATAGGGTACAGCCCCTTTTAGGGTTTCACATTTGTACCCAACTCTTTCATAGTTCATTCATTCCTGCTGCTAGAATGAACTAGCAGCACTAGGTCCGTAGGACCGTCTTTTTTTTCCGGTCCCACCTACCGTTGCGGTTACCACGCTACCCCACGTGTTGCCTGCCTGCCTGCCTTGCCTTGTGACGTGCTGCCTACTGCTGCCCTAGGCCAGCTCGCCACCCCTGCAGGCCCGTAAGGCCCGCATGCCGCCCCTGCAGGCTCATAAGGCCAGCACGCCGCCCCTGCAGGCCCGTCAGGCCCGCGAGCCGCCCCTGCAGGCCCGTCAGGCCCGCGAGCCGCCCCTGCAGGCTTGTCAGGCCACCGCGCCGCCCCGCCTCGCGGCCATGACCTGCCACTGACGCGGCCCCGCCTGGCCCCGCGCTGCAGCAGCCCGCGCGCGGCTCGCTGCTGCTCCCCGCGCCGCGTCCGCAGCCCGCGCTGCATGCTGCAGCCACGCGCGTCGCGCTGCAGCCCCGCGCGTCGCGCTGCAGCCCTGCGCGTCGCGTCCGCTGCCCGCGCGTCGCGCTGCAGCCACGCGCGCCGCGGCTGCCGTCCTCGCGCAGCCCGCTGCGGCTTCGCGCGCCGCGCCTGCAGCACGCGTAGCGCGCTGCAGCTTCGCGCGCCGCGGCTGCCCCTGTTCGTCGCGGCGCCCCCCCCCCCCCTGGACGTCGCCCCGGCCTGTCGCGACGCCCCCCCTCTGGACGCCGCCCCTACCTGACTGCCGCTGTCGCTCCTGCAGCAGCTCCCGCGGAGCGCCCTGCCACAGTCGCGGCACCGCCCTGCAGCAAGTGTCGCGGAGCCTTCTGCCGCCGTCGCAGCCCCGCCCTGTAGCAGCTACCGCGGAGCCTTCTCCCGCCGTCGCGGCCCCGCCCTGCAGCAGCTACCACGGAGCCTTCTGCCGCCGTCGCGGCCCTGCCCTGCAGCAGCTGCCGCGGAGCCTCCTACAGCTGTCACGGCCCCGCCCTGCAACAGCTGTCGCGGACCTGCCCTACCGTCGACGCGGCCCAGCTGTGCCGCAGCTGTCGCGACCCCGCCGTCGCCGCCGTCGTGCGTCTACCCGACACTGCCCGCCAACTCCGGCCCTGACCGCCACTGGTGAGCACCTGCCTGCCTGCCTGTCTGCCACGCCTGCCTGCCTGCCGCGCCTGCCCTGCCTGCTGCTGCTACTGCTGCTAGTGCTGCTACTGGCGGTGGCCAGATGGAGCTCCAGCGACGTTCACGCGAGTCTCTCACGCCCCAGCAGCTTAGTGAGTGGTACGCTAGTTGGGGTTGTGGCGGTAGCCGTCGTAGCTGTCGCCCTGGAGCTGGTCAGTTGGGAGCGTCTGGCAATGGCCAGCTGCAGCTGCAGCGGCGTCCACGCGAGACACTTACGTCCCAGCAGCTTCACGAGTGGTACGCTCATAGTAGAGGGTCGAAGAGTACCGTTCGCTGCCCGTACGTCATTCGCACAGGTGATCGGACTGGTCAGGCTTGCGGGACGCTTGGTCACACACAGTCCCGCTGCTTCGCCCGTCTGAGCGACGCCTGGCGTACCGAGTTTGGCGACGAGGCTGAGCTCCCCACCTAGCTGGAGCTGCTTAGGCAGAGGGTAGATATCTTTGCTCTTGACTATGATAATATTCTCACTGCCATGTATGCATTGTGCTTACGGTGCCTGTTACCTGTGCGTACCGCCTGACCCAAGTATAGAGCCTGCTGCTCTAGGTGTTGGTGAGGCTGCTGCTCTAGGTGCTAGTGCGTCTCCTGCTCTAGGTGCTGGTGAGGCTGCTGCTCTAGGTGCTCGTGCGTGTCCTGCTCCAGGTGCTGGTGAGTCTGCTCTCTCTGGTACTGCGCCTGCTGAGGCCTTGTACACCTTCACACTTGACTCAGGTGCTTCCCGCTCCTTCTTTCGCGACAACACCACCCTCTCGCCGCTCAGTCGGCCGGTTCCAGTCTCCCTGGCAGACCCCTCTGGGGGTCCAGTCCTTGCGCACTCCTCCACGGTCCTGCCGTGTCCAGCGGTCCCGTCTGGCTCCCTGTCAGGTCTTCACCTCCCCTCGTTCTCTACGAACTTGGTGGCGGGCTCTGCGCTCCAGGACGTGGGTGTTCACCAGTTCACCCCGGCCTATGAGCGTGTCACACACTGCACGTGTGCTCAGACGGGTCGTCACCTGGCTACCTTCACTCGGCAGCCGGGGTCGAACCTGTACACACTGACCACTGAGTCCCCTCAGGTAGCTGCATCTGCGTCTGCGTCAGGTCAGCTAGCAGCCCCCTGCTCGTGTCACGCTTTGTCGCACCAGACCCTCCTTTGGCACCACCGCCTTGGTCACCCCTCGGTGCAGCGCCTTCGTAGCATGCACCGCCGTGTCCTTGTCTCTGGTCTTCCCAGGTCTCTCCCTCCCCTCCCACCCTCGCCTGCTCCTCCCTGTCTTCCCTGTGTCGAGGGGCAGCAGCGCGCCGCCCCTCACTCCTCCTCGTTCCCTCCCACAGAGGCTCCCCTGCAGACTCTCCACCTGGACGTGTGGGGCCCAGCCCGCGTCCGTGGACAGGGCCACGAGCGGTACTTCCTGCTGGTCGTCGACGACTACACGCGTTACACCACGGTCTTCCCCTTGCAGCGCAAGGGGGAGGTCCCTGATGTTTTGATCCCTTGGATCCGCGCTGTTCGTCTCCAGCTCCGCGACCGGTTCCGATCGGACTTTCCTGTCCTGCGTCTGCACTCTGACAGAGGTGGTGAGTTCTCCTCAGACCTCTTGGCAGCCTTCTCTCCGGAGCACGGCATCCGCCAGACGTTCACGCTTCCGGCCTCTCCGTAGCAGAATGGGGTTGCTGAGCGCCGCATTGGCTTAGTCATGGAGGTCGCTCGTACCTCCATGATCCATGCGGCTGTCCCCCATTTTCTGTGGCAATTTGCGGTCCGCTACACCGCGCATCAGCTCAACCTCTGGCCCCGTGTCTCCTTGCCGGAGATCTCGCCCACACTGCTGTGGACGGGGAAGGTTGGCGATGCGTCGCGTTTCCGGGTTTGGGGTGCTCGTGCCTTTGTCCGCGATACCACCGCGGACAAGCTCTCCGCCCGCGCTGTTCCCTGTGTCTTCCTTGGCTTTGTCCCTGACGCGCCTGGTTGGCAGTTTTACCACCCCACCTCGCGCCGTGTCTTCCCCTCTCAGGACGTCGCGTTCGACGAGCCGGTTCCCTTTTACCGTCTCTTCCCCTACCGCACTGCCCCTCTCCCCCCCTCGCCGCTCTTCCTCGCTCCAGGTGCTCCCCAGGTAGACCCCCTCCCCGCTCCCGGTCCTGCTCCTTCAGGTGTGTCTCAGGTAGACCCTCCTCCCCTGACTGTGCCGGT